AGAGTCCACCTCTGGGGCAAGGGTATCAGTGGTTACGATGCCCTTGGCTTTAGACACTTGTAGTCGGTAGAGAATGTCCTTGGCCTTCAGTAGGGTGGTCCCTGGCATGAAGACAATCCCTGGGGATGAGAAAGGAACAGTTTGTTTCAGTTTCTCTTTCACAACCATGGTTCAGGCCTGGCTTATCTGCATAAAAATCCCCTAACCTCCTACTTGCAAAGTACAGTCTGCAGACCACCAGCATCAGCACCAACTGATCCACAGAATCTCACGCCTCACCTCAAATCTACTGAATCAGATCTGCATTTTAACAGGATGCCCAAGTGATTCCCATGCACGTTAAAGTGTGAAAGTGCTGCCCTAACCTTTCCTACACTAGATGGATCCAGCTGGTAGACAGATGGACCCTACTTTACACAATTTCACATGGGATCTGGGAATACAGGTGCAAGTAGGACAGTGTCCCTGACATCAGGACTAGCACATCCCCATCCCCGTCTTTCTCCTCTCACTTCCCTCTCTGTCAGTTCCCTCTTGTCATCTTGAATCTCTTCTCTTTCCTTCATTCCTCATATCCAAATTTAATCCTTTGAACTTTCCTCCCTTCCTTTCCATCTTCCATCACCAACAATTAGGTCAAGCCTTTGTGTGCTCCTATTGGATTCTAATCTCTCTGCCAGATACCCTTCCCTGAATCTTCCTACCACCCATCTTTCATATTATTACCTGCTTAAGTTCCACAGAGCACTGACTTTTCCCCACCACACTTCTTCTCTGCACTAACACCTGTGCCTTCTCTCTAGGAAAGCACCACACTCTCCATCCTGATATTGAAGGTGCTGCCCACTCTCCACCTTTCTCTCCCACAACTCTAATCTCTATTTCAAAATGGCCTTTCCTCATCTAGGCTACTCCTGACTCTAAGCCTTTGCATGTGCAACGTCCATTCATGGAATTCCCTTCCTTTGCTTCTACTCCTCCGTAATTCAGCTCATCCCAGGGTGCTTTGCTCATGTCTTAGATTTTCCATGGGCTTTCTCTTAGATCTACAGATGACACGGTTTCTCTATGCTCCCTCTGTCGTTGCTACAAGTTCTTGATTCCACATGACCTTGATGGATTAACCAACTATTTTATTTGTGAGAGAATATGAGTGAGAGAGAGAGAGAGACAGAGAGAAATATGAGCAGGAGCATGATGGATTGTTGTATGAGCATGCATAGAATAACTGAAGTGATTAAAATAATCCATGAATCCCAGACTGGTTCTAAATTATATAGCTAAATGAATAGATAGGTATTTAAAAGGGGAAGGGAAATCTCTAAAGAAAAATGCTAACTAATAAATGTATGCTAACTAATAAATGTAGAGGGAATGATATAAATAGAAAATCCTCATATAAAACCACCATAATAATAGTCAATTCAGTCAAGAATCATCAATGGATACTCAAACCATAGGGTGAAAGACTGTTGGGGAAAGAGATATACACACAATCTCATAAATATTAGACCACAGATTACTTATTAATTACAAGGGGGAAAGGTGCCTTTACAAAGGTAGATACCACCTTACTAGAGTGATAAAACAATATCACTGGTCGTGGGACAAACCAACTCATATACCCCCTGATGTGATGCACTGAGCAAGACACAACATCACGCATCTACTACTCCCGCTAAAAATGTTTAACCTGAATATAATCATAAAGGAAGAGTCAGAAATACAAATTCTGAGGGACATTCTGTAAAACAACTGGCTTAGATACTTCAAAAATATCACTGTCATGCAGGAAAGGCTAGGGAACCATTCTAGATTAGAGACTGAGGAGAAATGACAACTAAATGCAATGCATGATCCTTGGTTAGATTTTGGATTTACAGAAAAAACGGCTATAAAGGACATTATTGGGACAATTAAGGAATTTTGACTATGGATGTGTATCAGGTAACTATATTTTATCAATGTTAGACTTCTGTTATGATCACTATGTTGTGGTTACGTGAGGGGAATGTCTTGGATCTTAGTAGACACATACTCCAGTGTTTATGGGTATTTTTCTGGTATTTATGGATATCACAATGTCTGCAACTAATTCTTAAATGATTCAGTGGAGAAGGGGGGCTTAAATATGCCAAAATGTTAACAATTAATGGATATTTTAAAAAGTAGTAATGTCTGAGACTGTGCAAGAGAAAGTGTGTGTATGTGTGTGTGTGTGTGTGTGTGAATGGGAGAGAATTACGACATTGCATTTGAGAGTGGATGAGTGTGAGGGAGAGAATGAGTGACAAAGAATAAAAGAATACATGAGGGAGTCTGAGAAAGAGAAAGACAGTGAAGAAGAAAGAACGTAGGGGAAGAGACAGCACCTAATATTCCAGGACCAATTGACTCTAGGCCAGCCCTAAGTTCTACTGGGGTCTCTCCGAGCCACTGACCTGTTCGGATGCAGCCCACAGTCACCAGCCACCACTCAGGCACTCGAGGCAGAATCAAGGCTAGATGGTCTCCCTGCTGCAGGCCACAAGTCTGCGTGAAGACGTTGGCTGCACGGCGGGTTAAGTCTGTCATCTCTCTGAAACTCCACTTCACTTCATCTCCTTGGTTATTCACCCACCACAGGGCTGGGTTTGGACCTCTCTTGCCCTCCTGGTCAAGATCATACACCATGTGTTACTTCCTGCTTCAAAGGAAAAGGGCACTTATTTGGCCAATCCATTGCCATAGTCATATTCCAGTGTGAGCAGAGCTCAGGGACTGAGACTCCATTTTAAAGCATTTAAAGAGCCAAGAGAAGTTAGCAGTGGGTGTGATGCAGCCGAGTTCTTCTGGCCTACTGTAGCCACCTCCTCTCAAGTCACATAAAACCATGAATAGCCTTCATGTCTCCTATTGAAGACTTAAAGCTCCATTCCCCCATGTGTCTGTCTTAGTTCCATATAGACAGTGGGTTCCCCTCTATGCCTCAGTTTTCTCATCTATGAAATAGCAACAATAATACTACCTAGAAGGTAGTGAAGTTTAAATGAGTTATTTAAATGAATAAAGTGTATATAACAGTGCCTGGCCCAAGTAGGTGCTCAATAAAAATTACTATTGTTATTATTGCTATACAATAAAATAAAAGAGGCTAATTTAGTTCCTGAATATTTGGGGGAATATTTTTAAATAAATTACTTCTAGAGGTGAAATCAGCAAGAAGGCAGACTAGCAAGCTCCAGGCCCTCGTTCCTTCAGAGAAACATCAAATAAACAACAGACCAAAATGGTTTTGTGGGAGCTCTTGAAATAGTCAAGGATCTGCAGCAACCAACAAATGCCCAAAAAATAAGAGCCATACTCAAAATGGTAGGACATTTTGCGATGTTTTTGCCTACTCTTGCACCACCCCCTCTCTGATGTGGCACAGCACAGTCAGGAGGAAGCCACCCAATTCCCAGCCCATCCTTGGGACAGAAGGAAAAGAGTGGAACTTGTTTGCAACTTTTGGGCTTGCCTGGGGGCTGCCTGAGGGACTGGTTTCTGTCTCATCTGACTTGGTGCTCAGATGGGAAGGGTGGCATAGTTTGAATATCAGGTTGAAGGTCTCTGGAAGCAGTGGCAGATGCCAGGGTATGTGAAGACTGCAGACTTGTGGCCACTTAGGGGCAAGAAACTGCAGGCAGAAGAATACAATAGAACATCTAAGGCCCCAAGAAGAAGCAAGGATGAGACTTTTATGGAAATTAAGGTATATAAGATCAGCCATGTGCACAGGAAAATTGGAAAAACGAACACGCACAGGCCCAGGAAAGAAACATGCCAGAAAAGACCTGAGAAGGCCTTAAGTATTCACACTGAGAAAATTACTGAAGGTCTTCCCCTGCATGGAGCCAATCTGCAAAGACTGAGAGAGGTGGCTGCTTTTTTCAAATGCCCAATTTTCAACAAAAGATCACAAGGCCTACAAAGAAACAAGAAAATATGGCCCATTCAAAGGAACAAAATAAATCTCCAGAAACTGACCTAAAGAAACACAGGCTTCAGTTACTAGACAAAGACTTTTAGACAACCATCTTATGTATGCTGAAAGACCTAAAGGAAAACACCAACAAAGAACTAAAGCAAATCAGAAAAATGATATATGAACAAAATGAGATGATGAACAAAGAGATGGAAATTACAAAAAAGAACCAAACAGAAATTCTGGATCTGAAAAATACAATAACTGAATCAAAAACCTTACTAGAGCAGTACCAGAGCAGACTCAAATAGGTGAAAGAAAGGATTAGTAAACTTGAAGACAGTTCATTTGAAATTATTAAGTTTGAGGAGATAAAAGAAAAAAACATGAAGAAAAGTGAATAGAGCCTAAGGGATGTATGGAACAGTACTAAGTAGACAAATATACATATTATGGGAGTCCTAGAAGAAGAAAAGAGAGAAAAAAAGGAACAGAGCGTATTTGAAGAAATAATGGCTGAAAACTCCCCAAATTTGAGTAAAGACATGGATATACACATACAAGAGGCTCAATGAACTCTAAGTAGGAAGACTCAAAGAGATCCACACAGAGACACATTATAGTCAAATGACAAAAGCCAAAGAGAGACTCTTGACAGCAGAAATAGAAAAGTGACTCATCATGTATAAGAAACACTTAATAAGATTAACATTGGATTGCAGGACAGAAGGCAGTGGGATGATATATTTAAAGTGCTGAGGTGGAAAAAATCTGTTAACCAAGAATTCTATATCCAGCAAAATTATCCTTTGAAAATGAGGGAGAAATTAGGACATTCCCAGATAACCAAATTAAGGGAGTTCATTTCCACTAGACTTTCTCTGTAAGAAATGCTAAAAGGAGTCCTCAAGTTGAAATGAAAGGACAGTACAGAGTAACTCAAATGTGAAAATAGGAAGTTCTTTAATAAAAGCAAATACATGGACAAATATAAAAACCAGTATTATTGTAATTTTTATGCATAACTCTGGTTTTTATTCTGTAACAAAATTTAAAAGATGAAAGCATAAAAATAATTATAAATCTATGTTAATGGGTACACAATATATAAAGATGTAATCTGTGACACCAATAATATGAAGTGGAGAGGTGAGATGGAACTGGAAAGGAATAGATTTTTGTATGTGGATGAAGTTAAGTTGTTATTAGTTTAAATTAGATTGTTACAATTTTAGGATATTATATGTAATATACACAATAAACAGAATATACAAAAGGAAATGAGAAAAGCATCAAAACATATTACTACAAAAAATCAACCAAGCACAAAGGAAGGCAGTAAAAGAGGGAATAAGGGACAAAAAAAAGCTATGACATCAGGAAAATAATTAACTATATGGCAACAGTAAGTTCTTCCCTACCAGTAACTACTTTAAATGTAAGTGGACTAAATTTCCCAATTAAAAGACAAATATTGGCAGAATTGATTAAAAACAGGATCAAATTGTATACTGCCTACAAAATGATAGAATATGATAAAACCAATAAAAAAACTCTCAAATTTTCTTGCAGTAAAAATGCTTACAATATAATATCAATTTTAAAAAGCAAAACAATATTTACATTATAATCCAAATTTATATTAGTAATATTCATTCATTCATTCAATATTTCCAACTTCTCAATGTTTCTAAGGCCAAATGTTTTTAGAGACCATTATATTCTTAGACCTGAAGGATACGATGGTGAACAATACACACATATACACACATGGTTTTAAATATTTATGGCCAATTTTTGTTTTCTTGTTTAAATCAACTTTCTATTTTCCCCATGTTTTCTATAATGAGCATGCCTTTTTTAAAGATTTCCTTTTTTTTTTATTCCCAAAACATATTTAGAGTAAAAATTCAGGCAGTGCAAAAGCTTACGGACAGAAAAGTTTCTTATAGACAGAAACATTTCTTCAAATTTCTCATCACATTTTCACTCCCTAAATATTAATACTGATAATTGTTTGGTGTATAATCTTCCAGGAGTTTTTTTTCACATATGTACAAACATGATCCTACTACCTTTGACTCAGATGATTGGAACAAAAGAATGTATCTCATTTGAGATAAGATTAATAAATATGTATATACATATATATGTATTCATATCTATGAAAAAAATCAGTGCTATGAAAAAATTCTTGCCCAACAGATTAAAGAATATTAGCAAGTGTAAATGACTGGTGTGCACTGCTTATATAAGGGGAGCAGAGCATGGAATGTTCCTGTAGGAGTTTAAAAAATGATGGAAGAGCCGGCGTATCAAGGTAGAAAACAAGTGTTGTTGCTCAGAATTCAGACAGTATTTTAGCCCTTAACTTTCACAGCTCGAAGAAGATATTGCTTAAGCAGTTATGGATTTTTGTGCTAAGGATTAATCTGATAACATGATATTAAGAGAAGGGTGGAATAAAAAATACAACCCTTAAAGTGGATTTGAACTTTAAAGTTTTATGCAGTGAGGTTTGAAGCCAAGGGAAATTGAGAAATCATTTTAAAAGATGAAATGCTGGGTAAGCAACTCAGCAATAAAAATAAATGACCAACTAATACACAAAGCAACACGGATGAATCTCAAAAACATTATGCTGAGTCGCTGAATAAAAGAAACCAGACACAAAAGGGGGTCTCGTGTATTATTTCACTTCTGTGAAACCTAGGAGAGAGAAATATAATTTCTAGTGACAGCAGAGTGGTTGCCTAGGGCTCAGGGTGGGGATGGGTGAGGATTGACCGGGAAAGGACAAAAGGAAACTTTTGAGGTCATAAAAATGTTCTAAAACTCATTAAACTTTACACTTAAAATGTGCGCATTTTATTTTATGTAAGTTATACATCAATATAGTTGATTTAAATAAACAGAAACCTACACGGCTACTCCCTGCTAATCTCTAACTAAAATATGCTTTCAAAAAGGAAAATTGGAAAGGCTTATCAATTACTTAGGTGATTTATGAGTGAGAAGATTCTTTCCGAATATTAAAACACACAAGAGTTTATTGTCTATAGAAAGGGTTTGCCTCAGTATTAATTAAAATGAAATATAAGTTGAAATTTAATGATTTCTTTTTTTTGAAATTTAATGATTTCTGTAAATTAATGATAGAATATGATAGACTAAAAAAATCTAAATCCTAATTGACGTAGATAAAACACTTTCCCCAACGGTGATATAATTCATATTAACTTCCATTGCATTTGGAACGTTTACCAATCTCAAGAAATTTCAGAAATTTAAAATAGAGCATGTTTTCTGACCATAATGGAATTAAGCTAGAAATCATTAACAATAAGACAATGAGAAACCCACCCCAACTATCTGGAAACTAATCAATATACTTCTGTATAATCTATGGGTCAGAGAAGAATCAAAAAGGCAATTGGAAAATATTTTGAACTGAATGATAATAGATTATGACATCAAAATTTGTGTAATGCACCTAAAAGGAGTGCTTAGTGGGAAATTTATATTTTTAAATGCATATATTAAAAAAGAAAGAAGACTAAAGAGTAAGGACACAAGCTCCCATCTCAAGAAGCTAAAAAACAGACCAGCAAATCAAATCAAAGGAAAGTAGAAGAAAAGAAATAATAAAGATAAGAGCCTGCATCAATGAAATGGAAAACAAATACACAATAGAGAATAGAGGTAA